GGAGCAAGTGAGGACGTGTAATAAATGTGTGCGTATGCATCCACACTATGATTAATTAGATTAGATGGAACATTGTGGGTGTGGTGTATGAATGTTAATACTATGTAATAATTCTTTAGTATATTACTTGTGTGGTGTAGAACAAAATTATCTATGTAGAGATACTGCTTGCAAACCAATGATGGTAAGATGATGTTATGGGGTAGGACTGGATAAGTCTAACTTCTTCCTACTCCGTTCAAGCATATACTAGGTATAAGCAAATTGATAATGGATTAGCATTTGTGGATATGTGTGAAATTATGTGTGTTGACATATCGACTGTCTTTACATGCTTGAAAGAATAAAATCAATCAATCAATCAAAAAAACACAAAGTCAACTTAAATCATCAGTTGGCAGGTCATTAGGTACACCTAATGGACAATATCTCAGTTGTACGAAAACTGAAGTGTAAAGCCTTTTACAGTTGTCTGTGTGCTATACCTTTCCCTGGCTGGTTATAACCTTGTGATCTCCACAACATCAAACTATTCCTGTCATATTTTCCACTGCAGACCTGGTACAGCTAGACAGGTTCACAGAATGGAGTTAAAACCATAATGCACTCTTGGATCCTCTCTTTCTTCCTTTTCATCCATCTTTTCTTACACTTCTCATAGTGGGATATTTATTTATTCATGTCTTATTTCAATTTGTTTATTTGTCATTAATTTATTACAGTGAAAGAATGGTGTAACAGTTTATAATGTACAGTTTATTATTGCCTATAAGCAGAGCTTTAATCTTGACACATCTTTATTCATAACAGAGACTAAAAATAGACATTGGTCCTGAGCTCAGCCTCCCAGGTAGTGGCTTCTCTCAGGTACCATACTGCCTGCAACACGTCAGGTTAGAGATGGTTAAGAGTTGAAGTCAGGGATGGAGTTACAGTCCAGACCAGATCAGGAATGGCCTGTCCACTGACTGAGTAGCTCTATCTGGCTCAGCTCATGGCAGAAAAGTCTCCCTTTCTCTCCCTAGCTTTCTTCTCCTTCTATCTATCTTCCCTTGCATCCTACTGACAGTGCAGCTGGTAGCGGAGTTTGGCTCCCAGCCTGGTACCTGCCAGATGCTTGTTGAAGGCTTCATCCATCTCTTTGCTCTGTTCTGGCGTAAAATGGTTCCTCCAGTCCCCGACCTCACCTGCTCAAGGACAAATATATGATACTGTTAAATGGTTACATTCTGATTTCTCCTTAAATTCATTCAAAATTTAAAAATCATATTTTGTACCATTGAAGTGCTAACAAAAAGTGAAAAATCAAACCTAACATGCAGCTTTATCTTTTCATTTAGAAAGACACAGATGCTGGTACTGTATCAACTTCAAAGGAATAGTTCAAGCTAATCTAGAGGTACTCAAGAATAAACATTAAATGGCTGGAAACAAGCAAAATGAGCAGCCATGGGTAAAAAATATGAGTACTTCACTGTACCGTTTATGCGCACACTGCCGTATAGTTTGAAAGCAACTTATCTACTATTGAAAATGATCTAAAGACTCTCAGGCACCTTTTCTGAAGACAACACCTGCCATAACACCATGGGTGTTAGTGGCTCTAGCCTTCATGGCACTGAAGGAGCTTTCTCCTGCAACATGCTGCACCTGAGCCTCAGTCAGGCTGAAGCCAAAGAAGGCAGAGATCTGACGGATGCCCTGGATCAGGTCCTACAGGACAGGAAACAGAATCAGAGCTGTTAGGAACAACTGTTGACTTTACATTTTTCAGGCCATCACCTTCTGTCAGATGGGACTACGCAGTCACTGTGATCTACCTGTTTTATGTCTTCGTAGGTGACGATCATGACGTTGGGGTCATCCATCATCTTCTCCCAGGCCAAAGCATGGTCAAAATAGGACCCCCAGCAAACTACACACAAATATATATTAACAACCACACACAAGTCACCCAGTGAGCACTGATTTGCTGATTTCCAGGATTAAGAAAGCATCAGAAGTTAGCTCCATTCAACTGCATGAAATCAATTTCAATCCAGTTCAATAAACTTTAGTGGCACACAAACAGACCTATAGGCTATGAACAGGTCTGATCCAACATTATTTGTGTAACATCCAAATGAGAGCAGATGTCAGATATCTGCATGATATCGAAACATGTTGTGGGGCCCACAACATGTTTCCTCTTCAGGTTAAAAATGAGCTCCACCTCCAGTGGCAACATTAATGTTAGAAATCTGCTGTCTAATCATATAGTTACTTTAGATGACATAGCTCTTGCCTCCAGTACTACTGTGAGGAACCTTGGAGTCATCTTTGATCAGAATATGTCCTTTAAATCACACATAAACCAAGTCTCTAGATCTGCCTTCTTTCACCTGCGCAATATTGCAAAAATCAGGAGCATCCTGTCCCAAAGTGATGCTGAAAAACTGGTCCATGCATTTGTTACTTCCAGGCTGGACTACTGTAACTCTTTACTATAAGTATATCCCAATAATTCCCTAAAAAGCCTCCAGTTAATCCAAAAGGCTGCAGCCAGAGTACTGACAGGAACTAGCAAGAGAGAT